TTCAGAACTGCCTTAATCCATCATGGCGTCGATTCAACAAGATACTGGAAATATTCCTCAGAGATTTTGCTCCATACTGACATGATAGCATCACACAGTTGCTGCAGATTTGTCGGCTGCACATCCATGATGCCAATCTCCCGTTCCACCACATCCCAAAGGTGCGCTGTTGGATTGAGATCTGGTGACTGTGGAGGCCATTTGAGTACAGTGAACTCATTGTCATGTTCAAGAAACCAGTCTGAGATGATTCAATCTGTTACAAGGCAGGATGGATTCATGCTTTCATGTTGTTGATGCCAAATTCTGACAGGAGCGGCACCCGGTGTGGTCTTCTGCTGCTGTAGCCCATCCTCCTCAAGGTTGGACGTGTTGTGTGTTCAGAGATGCTCTTCTGCAGAGCTCGGTTGTAACGAGTGCTTATTTGAGTTACTGTTGTCTTTCTATCAGCTGGAACCAGTCTGGCCATTCTCCTCTGACCTCTGGCATCAACAAGGCATTTGCGCCCACAGAACTGCCGCTCACTGGATATTTCCTCTTTGTCGGAGCATTCTCTGTAAACCCTAGAGATGGTTGTGCCTGAAAATCCCAGTAGATCAGCAGTTTCTGAAATACTCAGAGCAGCCTATCTTGCACAACAACCATGACACGTTCAAAGTCACTTAAATCCCCTTTCTTCCCCATTCTGATGCTCGCTTTGAACAGCATCAGATCGTCTTCTTCTTGACCATGTCTACACGCCTAAATGCATTGAGCTGCTGCCATGTGATTGGCTGATTAGAAATTTGTGTTAACGAGAAGTTGGACAGGTGTACCTAATAAAGTGGCCAGTGAGTGTGTGCTTATATACTAGCAGAGAAGTTGATTAAAGTACTGTTTGTTTTCTTGCCCTGTCTTTAGTGATACGCAGTGTGAGCTGGGCACACTACACATTCAGCGGTGTGTGTGTGTGCGCGTTTATGTATGTGTGCCTGTGTGTATGTGATTGAGTGTGTGTGTGTGTGTTCTCCTGATGTTTTCCATCTGTCTCTCTGCAGGTTTTATATGGTGGCGTATTGCGAGCGCAGTTACCGCATCGCTGTGGGCGCTCGTCAGGGGTCAGTGGCTCTGTATGACGTGCGCACGGGGAAGTGTCAGGTAAGTGGAGCGGGGGGGGGGGCGAGGCTCACCTGGTGCACAGGTGTCTGCCAGAGGGCACAGGGCAGAGGTGCATGATGGGAAGCCCTGCTGCCCTGTAGAGCTGGAGATTGTGTGATCGATCGGTACAGGCCAGAAATCATGAACAGCAGTTCAGCTGACCGTGATTACACAGCTGGAGTCACATCATGAGTGTGTGTGTGTGTGTGTGTGTGTGTGTGTGTGGGGGACTGTGTGTGTGTGTGTGTGTGTGTGTGTGAATTTATATGTGTGAGACAGTGTGTTGATGCATATATATTTGTGCTTGTGCATTTAGTTTGTGTGTGTGTGGTTGTGTTGTATATATCTTTGTGTGAGTGTGTGTATGCTTATGGGTTGATGTGTGTTTGTGTTCTGTGTATATGCTTGTGTGTTGATCAGTATATTTGAGCATGTTGTGTGTGTGTGTGTTGATGTGCATGTGTGTGTGTCGATATGTATATGTGTGCATTTATATATTTGTGTGTATTGATGTGTACATGTGTGCTTGTTTTGTGTGTGTGTGTGTGTGTGTGTGTGTGCGTTGAGTATATTTGTGCATTTGTGTGTGTGCATGCTTGTGTATATATTTGTGTGTGTGTGTGTGTGTGTGTGTGTGTGTGTTTGTGTGCGTGCTTGCGCGTGCATTGATGTGTATATATTTGTGTTCTGTGTGTATGCTTGTGTGTTGATGTATGTGTGCTTGCGTGTACTGTATGTGTGTATTGATGTGTATTTATTTGTGTGTCCTGTGTGTATGTATGTGTGTGTTTGTGTGTGTGTGTGTGCGTTGAGTATATTTGTGCATTTGTGTGTGTGTGCATGCTTGTGTATATATTTGTGTGTGTGTGTGTGTGTGTTTGTGTGCGTGCGTGCGCGTGCATTGATGTGTATATATTTGTGTTCTGTGTGTATGCTTGTGTGTTGATGTATGTGTGCTTGCGTGTACTGTATGTGTGTATTGATGTGTATTTATTTGTGTGTCCTGTGTGTATGTATGTAAGTATGTATGTGTGTGTTTGTGTGTATGCATTGTGTGTATTGATGTGTGTATGTGTACGTGTGTGTGTGCTTTTAGTATATATTTGTGCATTTGTGTGTGCATGCGTTGTGTATATATTTGTGTGTGTGTGTGCATGCGTTGATGTGTATATATTTGTGTTCTGTGCTGTGTATATGCTTGTGTATTGATGTGTATAAGTTAAGCGTGTGTGTGTGTGTGTGTGTGTGTGTGTGTGTGCATTGTGTATTGATGTGTATGTGTGCTTGTTGTGTGTGCGTGCTGATGTGTAGTTATTTGTGTGTGCTGCGTGTATGCCTGTGTTGGTGTGTATGTGTTCTTGTGTGTGCTGCATGTATGCTAGTGTGCATGTTGTGTGTGTGTGTATATTTGTGTGCATTGTGTGTGTGCATGTCTATTTGTGTGTGTGTGTGTGTGTGCTGGAGACAGTTAGATGGGGGTCCGCAGCTGAATTGATTGAAGGATTGATTTTAGCTTGTTTACAGTTCTGGAGATCAAATCTCTCTGAAATCGTCGTCAGGGGATCCAGCCATCAGATCAGATCATATGCACATCCCATAATGCTCTCCACAATCGCCAATCACATGACCAGCAGCAGGTGTAAAACCAACACTGATATAAACACAGGTGTTTGTGTGTGTGTGTGTGTGTGTGTGTGTGCGTGCGTGCGTGCGCGCGTGCGAGAATGGGTCAGTGTCTGCTTCTCTGTGCATGGGTTTGTGTGTGTGGTGTGTGTGTATGTGTGTGTGTGTGTGTGTGTGTGTGTGTGTGTGTGTGTGTGTGTTTTGTGTGTGTCCGGTCAGCCATCTGTTCTTCCTGTGATCTGTGAAGTGGTCAGCCGGACTTCAGTCATTCTCTACATTTACTAATTAAACTCAGTGGGAGTGTGTGTGTGTGTGTGTGTGTGTGTGTTTTGTCTGAATCTCCAAATGCAGCACATTACCTCAGCAGCCTTTCTTGTGTGATTGTTGTTTTAGTTCATATAGAGTTTATATATGAGCAACATCACAAGAGTAGCAGTGTGATGTGGCTGTGCATCGGCACTACTGGGAGGCGTGTGTTGGCTTGAGGCTGCAGGCCGAGTGTTTTAGTGTCCCACCAGTACCGATATACAGACATATTGCACTGCTACTCATGTGATACTGCATTTATACACCATGTTGACGGCATAATCGTGTATATAAAAAGGAAAATCAAACACGGATAGTCTAAAAACTCTTTTATATGAGGAACTACTTTCTTCCGCCGTTCGTTCACATCTGCAGCTGACGTCAGAACAGCAGAAACCAATGCTCATTTACCAACTTCACTTTAGAGCTAGTGTTTGAATGATTCTCTAGCGTAATGTCTAAAGTGACAAAACAGCTGATTTAGCTCACATTTTAAGATTATAAAGCTGAACAGCATGAAATGCCATCAGTCTACAGAGATTTCCCAGTGTTTCTCTGTTGCAGTCGGGAGATCACAGTAGTTAACCCTGAAAAAGCCAAAGCAAACACTAGCAGATTACTATGGATTAATTACAGCATACACAAGAGAGAGATCGACTTAGTGTCTCTTACCCGATTAATAATGATTTGATCAGCTGGAGTTTGAAATGCGCTGAGTTTTTCTCTTAATGCTGTGTTCACTCCAGACGCGGGAGGAGCGTCAAGCAAGAGCGATTTACCTGTTAAGTCAATGCAAACGCGCGAATAGACATCCATGCAGAGAAATCTCCTCAGGTCTTTGTATAATTCTGCATTCAGACGTTCTTCAGTATTGTTTTTGCAGATGATGTATAGAACAGTTTATGCCATTTAAATATGTTCCAGTGGGCTAGATATTAGCCCCTTTCACACAGCGATACCGGTAAATATCCGGAAAACTTCCGGAGCGACTTTACCCGTAAATTCAAAACAGCGCTGTTCACACAGGCGAGGGTTAGGGGTGTCAAAATTAATTGTTTCTTTGGTGCACCGCGATGCAGACGCGGACAATTCGGTATCGGTTCAGTAATAATCATAACCAGTTATTATGTAGTGACGTCATTTATCTCCTATGCGCTCTGTCGCGAGGGAGGTGAGCGCGAGTATTTACAACACTCAGCCAACTCAGGGCCGGCCCGTGGCATAGGCACCATAGGCAAATGCTAAAGGTGCTGTATATCCAGGAGGCCGCCAGAAAGGAGCGCGCTTCAGTTGTTTTTTTTTTTTTTTATATTCTTGACACACATTCAGTTACAGACGGCAATAACTCAAAAACCTCTTACCCTAAAAAGATCTAAAGTGTGTTTCCTACAGAAAGACAAAGCTGGTTATGTTTCACAGCTGTCTTTCTTTTTTTTCGCTCCACACTTTGAGCACTGCTCCATTTAAGCCCTCGCAATATGTTTATAGCCGGGATAGCTCGCGCTGAGAGGAGCTCTCATCAAGGGACCGTCAGAAAAGTGCTGATTTTTTTCTTTTTCTTTTCTTTTTTTTTTCCTGCTCTGCTCTTTGCGAGCTCTCCCTGTTGCGAGGGCTTAAGTGTGTGCGTGTGCATGTCTGTGTGTGCGTGTGTGTGTGTTTGTTTCTTTGGTGCTGTCTATGTTTGTGTTTGAATAAGAGACAGTGTGGTGCTGTGTCTCTGTGTGTTTAGACAGACAGCTTGTTATAGCCTCTCCTCTAAAATATAACACTGTATATGGAAAGCATCGTCAATGCACCGAAATATCGAATTGAACCGAATCGAAGGTATGATAATCGTAACCGAACCGTGAGACCAGTATAGGTTTACACCTCTAGCGAGGACGTTACGGAATTTTACCGGAAAAGAGCGTTCACACATCCATACCAAAATAGCGGTAACTTCTGACATCACCAACCAGAGATGACTACAAAACGGCTGCGCTTGTGTTTGTAAACATTTGACTGCATTACAAACTCTGTGGATGGATCAGTATTGTGAACAACTCCAATGTAAACAGAGAAACACTTTGGCATGTCGAGATGTGCAGTCGCATTGTCACATATCCCATCTGTATCTGATTTATTTCCACATATGAAGGAGGCCTGAAACCCATCTCTGAATATCAGAATGCATGCGTTTTTTTTTTCGTTTACACGCTCATAAAACAGATCCGATCTGTGTCACATATGAGCAAAAAAATCAGAATTGGGTCACATTTAACTGGCAGTGTAAACGGGGCCCCAGCACCGGGGCTCAGTGGTTAGCACTGTTGCCTCAGAGCAAGAATGTCACTGGTTTAAGTTTCCTCCCACTGTCCAAAGAGTTGCGACATAAGTGATTTGACCAAACTCATAGATGAGCTCCTAGTCTGCAGTGTATCTCTTCATAACAATTCCTAAATTATCATTAGCCATAAATAAGCATCTCAAGACCTACCTGAGCTCAAACTCTCCTCTCACCCTGCAAATTGGAGGGAGCCCCAGGCTCGAGGATCTTCTGAGCTCAAGGCTCTCTCCTAGTACAGCAGGCATGTCCAAACTCGGTCCTAAAGGGCCTGCAAAGTTTAGCTCCAACCCCAATCAGACACACCTGGGCTAGCTAATCAAGCTCTGACTAGGCTTTCTAGAAACATCCTTGCAGCTGTGTTGAAGGAAGTTGAAGCTAAAATCTGCAGGACATCAACCCTCTAGGACCGAGTTTGGACAGTACAGCATGCCACACTCGCTTTATAACAGGGTTCCCGCGGGTCCTTAAAATGTCTTAAATTAAAATCCGGGAAATTAAGGTCTTCAATTGTCTTAAATTTTACCGTAAAGTGGCTGTAGGTATTAAATTTTCAGCCGGTCTGCTTAATGACGATAGGGGAGCACAGTGGTCCACCGTAAAACATCTAATAGTTGATTAATTCAGTATGTGAAACAGGAGAGAAATGACAGTCACCGGGATTTATTAGCTTATTACGGTAGGTCGGGTACAGAGTACAGACGCTGACGTCGGTCTGCACCTGCGTGCTGTTATTATGCGGTTGTTG